CCAGTCTTGTTGGGAATAGGTGCACTGGTGCACCTAAGCTAAAACATTAGGTGCACAAAAATGTTTGGGTTCACCATATAAAACAAAACATAATTAGAGATCTTACTGCTCCTCTTCTGAGCTTGACAAGTACTACTAGATTGTATTATTTTTCTGACACTTAGACGTCAAGAATATTCTGTATGCTATCATACATTTCATATGTAAAGAATACCTACGAAAATATTTGGGTGCACCAGTGCACCCACAGAAAAAAAATGCGTGCACAGCTCCAATTTTGGGCGCACTAAGGTGTACATGCACCCAGTATTTCGAGCCCTGGCACCATGTATAAAGTCCGCAAACTGTAGAAGCGGTGAGGAGGCGAAGCGGCCATAGATCACCCGCACCATAAAATCCGCAAACTGTATTTTGACAGCGATTGGCGTTATCGGTGGTGCCTATTCAAACCCCGTGGCGGCTCGTACAATGTCGCTTTAAACGAGTGCGTGAACCGTTTATGTCGGGTGCTGTCCGTCCTTTTCTATGATATTTGACAGGGAAGCAATAATAAAGGGAGCGAGTCGAAACCAGCAGGCTTATGCACCATTAGGAGTCGTCCAAAGTGAAAAATTCTTTTCATTTCTGCTCTAGGAATGATACTAAATAAACACAACAGCCTATACTATACGTTTATGCTTCTCAGCGTTTATGTCCAAACTATAACATTACGTGCGAGTGCCTAGTCTTAGATAAATGGCTTCTCCGTGAGCGATAAGCTTTTTCACATAACTCTGTGCTCTATAAACGTCAGGAATTGGTTCGTTATGATGATATTGTCCAGTCAAAAGTAGCAATTCTTGCTGTTTTAGTGAACATTACTGGAAAAATATCAGTTTTTGTACAATTTATTGTACCAGATGTGGTGTTTGTAAAATACCTTTGATACACAAACGGCGTGCCCACTCGTTGATGACTGAATACCAAAAGAATGGCCAACTTTTTTCAACGCTTAGGTCGATAAAAATCGAGCAAAAGTAGCATTTATCGGTTCTGACTTGTTACGAGTTTTCAGGTCATATTCTGGACGGAATAACCCGGAATAACCCGCATATTTTATCCACAAAACTTTACCGCCACCGCCCGAGTCACGATCCGCAGAAGCCGCGATGGTAAAGGCGAGCTGTTGAATATTCCAAGGCCGTACTGACTGCGATTGCGATCCTAAAAACTGTCTTGATTTATACCGTACTTATAGCAGGGCTTGTCGAGGTAATGCCGCTGGCCTGGCGGTGTTGCGCGCTTTCAGTCCGCCTTTCACTCAGCAGTCCAACCACTCGCAGATTGATGCCGGCAGTCTGGAGTTTCCCGCTGGTGTAGCTGTATGATGTACGGGCTACCGACGCTCATTCTTTCACAAATGCACAACAGCAGTGGGGAGCAGAAGCGCTTCCCCCTGAATTAGGTACAATTTGTCACATTTTTCTCATCATATTGGAAAACAATACATCTAGAATAACGTATATACAAAAGACACATTCAAAATTATTAACATGCAACATATACACAATGTTGCTTGGTCGAGTTATGCAAGGTCCAGTGTAGGTTCAAGACCCGGAAGGCAAGTTGTTAGAGTCTGATGGAGTAGTGCAGGAATGACTGATGCAGGCGGTATGGTGTTCCCGCCGCTGCAGGTACATGATGTACGGTCTACCGACGCGCGCTCCATCCGTCCTTGTTCCCTCGCCGAGTTCAAACGATTCGTTAGGGACTAAAAGGTGTGTGAGGGATTGAGGGACGGGTAAGACGTGACGGGAAGAGGCTGGTTCACCCCGCGTGGGGAGGGCGGGATACTAATGATAGATCGGCTGGAATCGCGGCAAAGTGGTTGCGGCGAGATCTCGCCTCACCTCGAGATGATCCGCGAGATATAATGTACGGCGCACTGTTAAAACGTTTGCCGACCCCATCCGTTATATCAAAGCACAGGAGTCTGGGAATCCGCCCCACTCTCCGCTGCTTGAGCCCAGAAGAGAACAATAAATAGCCATGCCTTCAAGTACCAGAGTTATCAACCAATGATTGAGGCGTTCAAGAATTTATTCTTTCCAGAGTGGAACTCGCCCTCACCAAGTACAGTAGGGACATTGTCATTAGATAGCTTTAAACAATGTCTAGAGTTAGATGTTCAAGGGTTAGGTGTAACAAGTCGATCGGTGTAATGTAGATAGCTGCCGCCGCGCCGCGTGGCTGCGAAACTGGTGTGTTACGCCGAAATTCGGTTATACTGGCTATACAGATACGGATACAGATAATGTATGGCACACTGTTAAAACGTTTGCCGACCTCATCCGTTATATCAAAGCTAAGGAGTCTGGAAATCCACCCCATTCTGTGCTGCTAAAGCCCTTCAGCAGTGGCGGGGGGATTTTTGTTGTCTGTATCCTTCCGCTGAAGGACGCTCAATGGGTCGGTGAGCCGGTTTCTATGGCAACGCTAGTCCAGTCTCTACCACGATTTTCCATCTCTGTCATTGGCTGTCATTGAACTGAGACGCTTTAAACGCAAAACCAAGAATAAGTACAGGGTGTAGATGAAGTACGTTCATGGTCTTTTAAGACCGACGAATGCCTACTACATTGGCTGTTTGTTCCTTATGACTCCAATGTGTCGTCTGTGCATTTTTGGTAACTTTTCTGTTATGTCAATCTGCCACTCTCAAAAGACTATGACTAATTATAACTGCACAAAACAGACAGGATGGCTCATTCCTAGTAACAAGACAAATCAGATTTGAGCCTTAAGTCATCATAAATGTCAGAATGTACAAATTGAACAAAAATGGGTCGAGGACGCAGCCTTGGGGTACCCTATCCTTGAAAGTACTGACCTGAAGACAAGGTTTGCTATCCTATTTATAGGTTTCCTTTTATCTCTAATGTGGCAGAATTCACGACCATTGTCGCTGCTCTTACCGCACTAACGTTCTTGAAAATGTTCAATACCAGGGTCTTCGCACATTTCAAGGTGCCCTTGTTACAGTAAACTAACCAAAGTGATCTGGTTATAAATGGGTTGTGTTCGTTAAAGCCAGAGGGTACCTGAATATAGTGTTGCGCACTCTATCTCTGCCACGCTTGGGGTAAAAATTCCCTGATTCTTTAAGCACTTCTGTAGCCCCATAAATCCTCTGAATACATGGAGCACAGGCAACTTAATCATTGTCTCGAACAAGACGCAGACATCTAGTTCCCAGTACAGACACGTACTTCCAAAACTGACCCCTCGGTCTCACACAATCTTCTCTTCCATCTCTGTCATGTTTTACAAGTTTAAGGCCGATGTGGACTCCCCTGTAATCACAAAACGTGGTGACGGCACACTCAAGTTTTTCAACTTATATTAATGCCGCCACCAACACAGGGACAGTACAATACTCATTTTCACCTATGCGAAGTGAAGAAAGTCGTGTAAAGTGCCTTTCCCAAGGGCACAAGATCGGTGGCATGTCAGGACTCGAACCCAGGACATCTTGGTTCCGAGTCGAGTACTCTGCCGCTACACCATACGACTCTCCTGGCTGCGTACTTACACGCCACGCCACGGCAGCAGTACAAAAGACAGTTTCCAGTACAGACACGTACTCCTAAACCTGACCTCTAGGTCTCACGATCTTCTATTCCATCTCTGTCATGTTGTACAAGTTTAAGGCCGGCGTAGACTCCCCTGTTTCCGCACCTGGCGTCAGGTCGTCACGAAGCAGCCATGACAGACAGTGTAGGTCGTGCCCCGTCTCGTCAGCGCGAGCGTCAGTCTCTCTCTGTCCCTTTTCCAGGCGTTAGGCTACAGCAAGTAAATTTTATGGATGACATCATCCGCAGACTCCAAATCTAATGCGGGCGGGCGAAAAAAAATAAGGCGGGCCGAAAAAAACAAGGTTCCTACATTTGAAAATTTTGACTCAATGGTTTTCAAATGGTTTTGATTCAGTGGGAACATCACATATACACAGCCAGTATCACATATGACTGTGATCTTAGAAACAAAACATTAAATCAGAGCCTTTTCTTGTCTCCTCTCTTCATAGTTATCTGCCATCCACCTTCCGGCATGGCGTCTTTGCCCATTTTTGGCATGTTCACCACTGCCAGAGGGCAACAAAATTTCTTGTTGTTTTTTCGAAAATCAGGCGAAAATTAATGTGCGTGCTGATGTCTTCCATAAAGATTTCTTGCTGTGGCCTTAGTCTCCGTGTCTTGCCTTCACCCTGCTCCGGAGCTGCCTGTCAAGATAACTCCCCGGCAAACTTGAGGAGCAGAGCCGGTCTTTCATCGCACGCGGCTGTCAGGAAAGTCTGGCAGAAGCTGTCAGGTGTTCCCGTCAGGGGAAACCAGAGGGATTTCTAGCCTCCATAGCATGCAAAAAACTGGGGTCTTCATGGTCTTTAGGAGCTTTTATGTGCTATTTTTTGATTGCATATAGACAACATAGCCGGCCTGGTTGAATTACTTCCGTTTATTAGGACTGGGCTATTCAGAAAACAGTCGAAGACCACCAAACCCCAGTTCTCTAAGCCTGCTACGGAGGCTAGGGGATTTCTGACACAGGCGCGCGAAAAAGCCGGCATGGTCGGGCAGAGAAAGAGAAAGAAAGAGGGATTCAAAGAGGGGAAGGGAACGGAAAAACTGGAGGAAAAGGGCGCGAAAACTGCTGTTCACTCATTGGTTTGATATTTTTCACATTTGCAAGCGTGATTATTTTTCTTTTCTTTATAGACTTTTATTTGCTGCGTTTTGCCACATGTGCAATGCCCTGTGAAGTGCCGCGCATTATAACTATAGAAACCGACATTCATTTGAACAAGTGCGTGTGTGTTTCATGATGAAACATGAGCGAAAACAGCTGACAAGCCACATCGTAGTATTTCTGTTGTCTGAAAGTGTATACAGTGAAAACACCTTGATATTAGTTTGTAGTATTTCTGTAGTCTAACGTGCTTACCTTTGTTTGTTGTCCCACAGACGTGACGGGAGTGATCATTGTTGATGTGGGGGATCCGGTCAGGATAAAGCGCGGAGACGACGCCGTCCTCTTCTGTAACTACTGGGGCATCCCCATCGATCAGGCGGAAATAGAGTGGCACTTCCGGTCAAGTTCGTCCATCACCGCGCCAAGGTGGGCGGAAGTATTGTTCTGAGGTTGTTTGTTTGTGTGTGTGTGTGTGTGTGTGTGTGTGTGTGTGTGTGTGTGTGTGTGTGTGTGTGTGTGTGTGTGTGTGTGTGTGTGTGTGTGTGTGTGTGTGTGTGTGTGTGTGTGTGTGTGTGTGTGTGTGTGTGTGTGTGTGTGTGTGTGTGTGTGTGTGTGTGTGTGTGTGTGTGTGTGTGTGTGTGTGTGTGTGTGTGTGTGTGTGTGTGTGTGTGTGTGTGTGTGTGTGTGTGTGTGTGTGTGTGTGTGTGTGTGTGTGTGTGTGTGTGTGTGTGTGTGTGTGTGTGTGTGTGTGTGCGCGCGCGCCTGTGTGTGTGTGTGTCTGTGTGTGTGCGCGCCTGTGTGTGTGTGTGTGTGTGTGATTTTGCAGTTTACCATAATATACACAATACCTTGCATCCCCAATACTGTTGTTTGTCTCGATGTTGCTGTTCAGTCCATTGCACCAATCACAACTATTTTCCTGCAACCAACTTAAGTCTGATCAAGACTTATGTAAAAATCCTGCATTTTTTTTCTTCCTACAGACAACAGATTTTCCAATACCGAGCTGACGGAAACATCGAGCACGCCTACGGGAACTTTGACGGGCGTGTGACGAGGGGAGACCGCGCCTCGCTGCAGATCAGGAACATCACCGACACCGAGGTTTTAGGTAGGATTTGTTTGTTTCGATTGTGCACACCGACGGCGTGTACGAGTGTGAAGTGGGCGCCGTCGGACAACCGTCGGCTACGAAGAGTATCCCGCTCACCGTGTTAGGTACGCTTGGACGTTTTGCTTTCGGTCACGTTGATTGTTAGTTGGTGTGTTTGTGTTGATTCTGCACTGGGACTTGGGGTGTGTATGAGTGTGAAGTGGGCGCCGTCGGACAACCGTCGGCAACCAAGAGTATCCCGCTCACCGTGTTAGGTAAGTTTGGTACTTCCGGACAGAAATATTGTTCTTGACTGTGTGTTTGTGTTGATTCTGCACTGGAAAAAGCTTAAGGGCGTGTATGAGTGTGAAGTGGGCGCTGTGGGGCACCAGTCGGCAACCAAGAGCATCCCGCTTACCATGTTAGGTATGTCGGGACGGAAATAATGTTTTCGGTCGCGTTAATTGATAGTTCGTGTGTTTGAGGCGATTCTGCACGTGACCTGGGGCGTGAAATGGTGTGAAGGAGAACTGAAGCAGGGTGATTTGCCTCTAGGGCTGTGTTTTGTGCCAACAGATGTTACCTAAAACCCACTGCGTTACTTTGCGGTAGGTTCCGGTGAATAATAGGCAATGCTTCGGACGAACTTGTGCAGGTAATGCTTACTGCCGCTGAACGGTCTTTACTTACTCGTTCAATTACCGCAATATGACACGCCTGACCCACATGCACCGTTCAGTCCTCAATTTCACGTCTTTTGGGAGTAAAAAAAACCTTGACATTAAAACAGGAACATCATGCACGTTCTTAGAATATATCAGCCATTCAGCACGTCAAGAGGAAAAATGTAGTCTCTACCAGACTAACGACGCTAGCTGGAAATAGTAAATGTAGTCATAGTTAGATTTGCCAGGGGAGTTTGGCCCCCATAGGGCTTCATTTGCGGATATGTTTTTTTTTTCTTTATATTCCAACATTTCATGTTAGACATGGTGACATGATTTTTAAAGAAGACTAGTTTTAGTTTCATTTAATTTGCTTCAAGTAAAAGGTGGGACAAACTGGCATACCATAGGAAAAATCTTTCCAAAGCGACATTGTCCTTCTCAAAACCGAAATATATCGAAAGACTTATTTCCACCATTTCCACTAACATCAAATAATGTCCCCGTATATCTGGCGAGCACTTGACAAATGGGGCTGAGAAATGGCTTGCAGCGAGCCGGCTTTTCACAAACACTGTGTGTGGGAGTGAGTAAGCCGCGAGATCCGTGCGGATCATCAGACTACATTGACAAATGGACGTTTCACAGAACGTTGCGGCCCACACAATATGTACTAGTCTCTACCAGACTAACTACGCTGGCTATATATATATATATATATATATCACTGTATGAAAAACCACGTTTCCAAGAGTTTCCAGTCCCGCACACGCCCGTGAAATTCGCCGTGTCCTGGTCGCGTCCATGGATTTCCGGGCTCCGCGTGTACGGCCCCGGATATTTCCTTACACTCCTGGATTCGTGCTCGCCGTGCACGTGCACGGAAATTTACGCCCCGCACACTTGGCGTGTGTTGGGGAGCGGCTAACAATAAGGGGTAATTAGGTACTGCGTGTATTCATGTTTCAGGTGATAATTACTTGAACCAAAGTTGCCAGCACTTTAATCTAAGCAAATTAGATATAGAATGATCAAGGATTGTTAATACAACATTTGAACCTATGCGTCCTTGGCTTGATTTATCGTGATGTCGTCCATACGACAAAGCACATTTGAGCGTAGGGCGCCCCGACGCTGGGGTTATATGACCTACTCGGTCAAAATGACCTAAATCTACACTCCGGTCTAAATCTGATTTTTTTATTATTTTGGAAATAATAGTTTATCCGCGAGGTTCATTACCATGATGTAATCAAACGCTTGACTAAAGGGGTTTGAACTAACATGACCTGATCAGTTTGTTATGATTTTTAGGTACATGTATGGGTAATAATATGCAAGATTTACATTGTAGTTCGGTCGATGTGTATTGCGATGTGTCTGACATGGCGTCCGTTTATGTGAATAGCCTTTGTGTAAACAAAGGGAGAACTCACAGCGTCCCCATGCCTGGTAAAATACTGAAATCCAGCAAAACAAGTCAACCCTCATGACATTAATTGTGGATTTTGGATACATTTACAAAGAGTAAGGTTATGTTGGAGTTGAAGTGCGGTTTTATTTCACTTAGTGAGCGACAAGTTGTGTAATTCTAGAATGAATAAAGCCATGTAATCATGACGAATTAGAATTATGAAGATCATTTGTCTGCCTTGAAATAAATACATTCACACAATCAGAAACATCCTATCATCCAAGTGTTCAGACTGCACAGGCGATTTAACTTAAAACCTATAATATAAAAACAAGAAGGTTGTAGTATTGAACGCGATCACGTGATTATATGATTGACGACCAATCCTACCTCGCTCTCGCCGGGACCAGCCAATAAGAGACGCGATGCTTTGTTTTGGTGGGTCGTTTGAATCTTGCTTTGTCACAACGACGGTTTGCTTTTTCAAAACACGTTTGTCTCGGCTTGCAAAGATTACTAGTATGTTCCTGAACTAAAATGGCGTCAAACATTCCGTTCTGTTACTTCGTTTTCGCAACGGAAGAAATGACTCTACTACATTGAAAGGACAACACCGCAACGAACCAGCAAACCGACAGGAGGAAGGGTAAGCTAAAACAAGGATACTATTATATATACGGCACTATCGTTACATATATCTTAAACATGTTGTTTAAAAACCTTGGCTAAGTTGTGCCTACGGCAGAAATATTTATTTTGGCAAGAAGTGTACACTATTTTTTTACTGATTAATAACATAGTTTATTATTTCTACTTAGAAGTACATCGATATAGTTTGTATGTTGCTCAGAACATATGTACTTTTTTCAGGCGCGGATTTGGGATACTTTGAAACGATTTGAAGAAACTTTATCGCCAGGCTGTCGGAGAGCTCAGAAAAGAAAGAAAGAAAAGCAACTGCAGTCACACAGAAGAGGGTGAGTCTATGCAAATGTATATCTTTGCATACGAAGGCCGACAAGGCTCTTGACAATTTGAATTGTTTTCATTACCGAGGGAAATGTTGTGTTTGTATTGTTCCCATGATTACAATGAAAAGAAACAAGTAGACGTTGATGCTT